ATCAACATTATTCTAATTATTATTATCATCATAATCATTGTTCACCTTAGAAGTAGCAGGTGCAAGTATTGTGACGAGGCGAGCGTTATATCCTTTTTTTAATATGCTTTAAGGAAAACTTACACACTTACATTAATTCCTTTGTGTCTTAAAGCAACAGCTAATAAATATGTAGCACTTAAAGTGTCAGCTGCTCCCACTGCCAACTTTTCTATCAGCTTAAGCCTACGAGCCGAGTGCTCTGCTAGAACTCGGTCTACTCCTTGCTCGGCCGCGAACTAGTACACAGCTCTTCGCAGCACTAATGCCACGACGCGTTGACGTCGACAAGTAACACATCTTAAGGCCCTTTTGCCATTTTCTTTTTATCTCATCAAAGCCCACCTGCGACTTCTGTGTCCTCAACAGTCAGCTAATATTTTTGTATTAGTTTTATTCAATTTAATTGCTTTTCTTTGTTTTTGTTTTCCCGACAGTCACTATGTACTTTGATAGTCAGATTTAAAGTTTATAATTTTATATCTTTTCAAAGTAATTCTTTAATAGTTTTATTCGCACATTACATATTGTTAACGTATTTTGACTTTCCTTGTTTAAATAATTAACTCTGCGTTACTGTTATTTTATAGTTCTATTTAGTAAGTTTTCAAGTCTGTTTGAGCATTATAATTAATCGTTTTGTTCTAATTTAATAAAATCAAAAAATTATTCATTAAATATTCTTATTCTCATGCATGCGCAACATTTTATTTTTTGTTATAAGACTAACTTGGCGTTCTATACATAATAAAAATTCATGTCCACTCAATAATATAAGTCTTATTTTTATTGTTAAAACTCTACGTTAACTTGAGGGTGAAAATTGAAAAATAATTACAATTTTTGGGCGAGTTTATAAGAAATATTCATTGTTAGCAGAGCGTGGTTAGTAAGCTAAGAGGTCGTTTAAAAAGAAGCGCGTGATTAGTAAGGTCACTCACAGCGAATGCTGATGAGCAGTGAGAATGATAGAGAGATGATCGCCGAGCAAGGAAGCTATTGGTCTCTTCTTTTTGCGGTGCTTTGCAACAAGGAGCCGAGCCGTAAACTGAAATCTTTTTCTCCTTTTTCGCCATGCGGAACTCGTAACACAAGCTATTGTCTTGGGCTATACATACATTAAATGGTGGGGAAGAGACATGTTTTTTCAGATCTACTGGTAAGCTAACATCCATCACTTTTTTTTTTTTTTTTCCTCACATTTGCTTACGATCTCGCTGGATGACGCACACGTTGATAGCCGTTTCGTTAGTTTTGTTGCGCATTAGTATAGTAATTTATTTAATACTTGGGCTTTCTTTTACTTTTCAAGTTTATTGATATTTGTATTCATTCCTTATGTATATAATTTAAATATTTATGAATAGATAAATTACTAAAATCTAAGATTAAATTATTGCAAATAAAAACAAATTTTTATATTAATTTCACCGATAACGTTTATGCAAAAAAGTAAAACAATATCACATTTTAAGATGAAAATAAAGTTACTCGAACGATATTAGAAATCTTCTAACTAATGTCATAAAAAATTGCTTTAATTTAAGGATGATTTAGAGAAATATAATTACTTTAAAAACGATGTTCATACAAGAATTAAGGCTAAGTATGTTAAAACGAAAGAGCTTATCATAACAAAAATCCAAACTTTACAAGGCCTGGCCCCACTTTTCCGCGATGATCCGCGTCCTATACCTATTATTTAAGATATTCAAGCTTTTCTTCGCCCTCTGTCATTGCCAACATTTTTGGGCAAACAGGACGAGTGGGAGAGCTTTCAACCACGTTTTAGTTGGCTTATAATAGATTAGCCTTTGATTCCCCGTATCACAAAAATGCAGCATTTATTGAGTGCAGTCCAAGGTATTGCAGCACAATGGCTACAAGGTTCAGAATTAAGGGAGGATAATTTCAATGTCGCGTGGCATAAATTGGTATGACGTTATGATATTAAAAAGATAAGATTAAACAACGCTTTAGATAACCCCTTAAATCTTCTGGTAGTTTGCGCTCGCAACGTTCAAGACTTTAATGATATTCTTGATCGCGCTAAAGCTTCAGTCCGCACACTTGAAGATCTTGAATGCCCCACTGATCAAACTAATTATCTAATACTTTTTTACGTTGTACGTATGCTCGAAGCAGCAACTCGGGAAGCTTGGGAGATTGAAAAAGAAGATACGCAGGGATTTTCCACGTATAAAAATCTAGTTAGATTTCTTAAGCGTCGCATACTGACTTTACAGCTAGCGCGAACGTCAGTAGATTTAAGTGACCATCGCTCAAAACGTAAATATACCCAAATTTTACGCGTAAATACTAAAATAGTTTCAGTTAATACTTTTTAAGCCAGTTGTGACCCAATATCTCTAACTGGTTGCATACTTTGCAACGGTAAGCATTCACTTAACCGTTGCTATAAATTTAAAAAGATGAGCCAAGCTCAATATTGAGATATATGTAAGCGTGAAAAGATGTGCGTGAATTACCTAAAAAATACACATTTCGCAGATAAATTACCTTCCACGTATTACGTGTCAAGGTAAGCACTATACACGTTTACACTACGATAGTGCTCGACCTAAAACTCCTCGAAATAATTTAACTAAGCCACAATTGATCCTAGTCGCTAACGTTGGTTCAGGTGTCAGTAGTCATTTGCAAACCCATCCCCAGGAGATAATACATTCACACTGTGCTTCGGTAGGCTCTTCGATCTTATGAGCGACAGCTTTGATAAAATTATTCAACGATCATGGTGATTCTCTGATCATAAAAGCCTTAATCAGTTCAGCCTCAGAGAGATCGTTTATATCTTAACGCGTCGTATCACAGTTGAGTCTTGTTACAAGAAGGGTTGATTTATTGGTCACAGCAGTCGAAGGTGCAGTAGTATCGAAGGCTCGTAGCAAGGCTAGTTTTATTATTATGTCGAATAAACTAGAAAACTTTCAACATGCAATTTTCGCTTTGGTTTTATCGGAGCTTAGCCAATTTTTGCCGAAAAATAAAGTTACTTATACTAATTGTCCCCATATTAAAGATATTTATTTAGCCGATCCTCGCTACTCTGAGCCAACACAAGTAGATTTCATATTGGGGGCTGATGTGTATCCTTTGATCATACTTAGTGGATTAATTAATGGCCCATCCGGCACTCCGTTAGCACAACACTAAGTTTTCGGTTGGTTGTTGACGGGCCTTATTGCAGTTCCTCAATGTTCCAATAGCTATTTTGTTCAAACTTTCTATATTTATACTGAACATTCCGTCAAGAATTCTTGATTGAAATTTTGGGAAGTTGAGGAAGAGCTCCACAAGTCCCTTTTTAATCAGGACAAGCAATTTTGCGAGGATCACTGCCGTTAATACAGAAGGCAGAAACTCAGAAGGCGGATTTGTTGTTTGTTTACCTATGAAAGGTAACGCAAATTTTAAAAACTCGTGAAATATCTGCTGCTTGCTTATTGCGCTCCGAAAGAAGGCTAAAACGCAACTCAGACCTTGCAGCAGCTTATAATTATTTAATGCGAGAATATGTTGATTTAGGTCATATGAAACTTGTACCTTCTGATCGGCTACATCGATCTGCATATTCTTTGCCCCATCATGCTGTCACGAAACCTGATAATCCTAGAAAGGTGCGCGTAGTCTTTAATGCATTGCTAAGGGACTCTTATGATATTTCTTAGAATGATTCGCTGTTGCCAGGATCCAAACTGCATGCTGATGTTCTGATGGTCTTGACTAGGTAGTGATTTAGTAAATATGTTTTTACCACATATATGAAGAATATGTTCAGACAGATATTTGTATGCCTCGAAGACTGTGACTGGCGTAGGATCCTATGGCGCTACAGTGACGATCAACCAATCATGGATTATAGGTGCCTTACCGTGACCTACGGTGCAGTAGCTGCTCCTTTCCTGGCGTCTCGTGTTATGCAACAGCTGGCAACAGATGGCGCGGCCTCATATCCACTTGCTGCAGAGATAGTAAATAGTCAGCTTTATGTTAATGATTTTTTTCACTGGAGGAGATACCATCGAGCTTGCCTTGGAGCGCCGAAATCAGCTGATCGGCCTGCTAGCTACAGCTGGAATGTCACTGGGAAAGTGAACAGCTAACGTGACCGAGCTATTAGAAGGTGTAGGGCTGTTGGGCTCTGACGAGTTTGAATTAAGATTAAACGAGGTAGTATCAACTCTAGGCATCAAGCGGCTCCCTGCTGACGATATATTTATTTTTAAGTTTTTAAATAAAGAGTCAGAAATTAACTATACGAAAAGATCAGTCCTTTCAGAAATTGCTCGGTTGTTTGACCCGCTTGGCTAGATTGTCCCTGTCATTATTACTGCGAAATTTATATTCCAGGACATCTGGCTTCTTGACTTGGGTTGGGACTCAACGTTACCAACTGAGCTGTCACAACGCTGATCGCAGTTTCAACATGATATAAATGATATCTCGATACTTTGAATTCCAAGGTGGATTGGCTTTAAAAAGCATGATGATTGGTACCTGCACTGCTTCTCTGACGTTTCCAAAAGGGCATACGCTGTGGCTGTCTACATGGTAAAACCAGGTACCTCAGTGTCTCTTATATTGTCCAAATCGAAACTCTCTCCGACGAAAGTGCAAACGCTACCCAGGCTGGAGCTTTGTGGCACAACCTTATTGGTTAGATTAATTAAACACGTCGTCAACAGCATAGGCCACCAACCTGCCACGATCAACTGCTGGACTGACTTTAACTTGGTGCTTGAATTGCTGGAAAGTCATCCATCGTGATGGCAAACTTTCATCGCCAATCGGACTAGTGAGATCATGTCTACAGTTTCTACGGCAAAGTGGCGGCATGTTCGATCCGCTGATAATTCAGCCGACTGCACTACAAGGGGATTGTCACCGTTGGAGCTGTTGAAACATGACCTGTGTTTGCATGGACCTCCCTGGTTGATGTTAGAAGAGCAAAATTGGCCTTCAAATTCTTTGCTCAAATCCACTGAGGAGCAACAAGTACAAGCCTTTGTCTGTCAGGAGGAGCGAGCATCAATTAGCAAGGATAAGGCGTTTCAATCTAGTCACCTCCCAGCTCTAGAAAAACATTCAAGTTACGCTAAGATTTTCCGAATATTGAGTTACTGATATCGGTGGCGTTTATTAGTTACAAAAAAAACCATGGAAAGACAAGGTAATTCGTTAAATATTGTAGAATGAAGAATGTCGTGAATTGTATATTTCAGAGCAATTCAGAGTTATTATTTTGCGGTAGAGATGAAGAACTTGGTTGATGGGAGGGATTTAAGAGCTTTCAGTCTACTTAAGCGTCTCAACCTGCTCATTGATGATCAGGGACTTTCACGTGTGGATTGTAGAACCGTACGACAAAACCAAGCAGACGGTTAACTTGACCGACCGCTGGAGGCTACTCACAGGTCTATGCAAATCTTTTTGGTCCCGGTGAAGAACATAAGTCCTACATCATCATTTACATTTCAATAAATGGTTAAAGCCTCAATCGAGTTTACAAGAGGGTGACATAGTTTTACTGGAGGACGAAGCAAATCCGCCAGCTACCTGGCCTCTCAGATTATTCGTTGACACGCATCCAGGTTCCGATGGCTGGTAAGAGTTGTATCCGTTAAGACTGCCATCTCCACTTTCAAGAGATCTATTGTAGAGGTCAATAAGTTTCTCAGTGAACCCAAGCTCGAACAGTATTACAAGAATCAGTGTAGAAAGGACTCGAATCAATCCGATATAATGGTGAAAAGCAATTATTGGTTTACTCACTTTTATTTTATTGCAAATTTTATCTTTTTTTTATTCAATTTTATTGTTCTAAGTTTATTAATTATTATGTTACTAAATAAAGACATTATACTTATGCTAAGATTTCGGCTTAGATACAGCAAGTAAAAACAAAAAAAAGGTTAGGATTAGTTTGTTGGTAAGAGAATAAGTGATCCTTCTAGAGTATGAGTGTTATACAGTCTCAAGTTGAAGAACTGTAAGAATAGAGTCTAATCAAAGTTAGGCTTTTCTATCTTTTGATCTTAATGCCGATCTTAGTGCATCAACGTGGACGGTATCTTCACCTTAGAAGTAGAAGGTGCTAGTATTCTGACGAGGCAAGCACTATCCCCTTACACACTAACATTGATTTCTTTGTGTCTCAAAGCAACAGCTAATAAATGTGTAGCCCTTTAAGTGTCAGTATTCCCCACTGCCTACTTTTCCACCAGCTTAAGCCTACGAGCCGAGTGCTCTGCTCGAGCTTGGTCTACTCCTTGCTCGGCCACGAACTAGTACGTAGCTCTTTGCAGCATCAATGAAACGACGCGTCGAAGTCGATAAGTAGCTCATCTCAAGGCGCTTTCACGATTTTCTTTGGGCCTCGTCAAAGCCCACCTGTGACTTCTGTTTCTTCAACAGTCAGGTTTTCCTTTTGTTTAAGTGTGATTTAATTTAAATGCTTTTCTTTTTTTTTTTTCTCGACAGTCATTATTCAGTTCAACAGTCAGATTCAAAGTTAATAATCTTACATCCTTTTAAAGCAATTCTTCTGTAGTTTTATTTGCACAATACATATTGTTCACGTGTTTTGACTGTCCTCGTTTGAATATAAAACTCTGCATTACTGATCGTTCACCCTTTTATTTAATAAAAACTCACATTTTTTGTGCACTATAATTGATTATTTTGTTTTAATCCAATGAATCCAAAAAATAATTCATTAAATTTTGTTTTTTTATGCATGCGCAACGATTTATTGTTTGTTATATGACTAATTTGGCATTCTATACATCATATAAATTTATATCCACGTAATAAGATGGATTCTTTTTTCTTTGTTTAAACCCTACGTAAACTCAAGGCTCGGAATAAGAAAAAAATTAAAATTTATTGAGCGAGTTTGTTAAAAATATCCGATTTTTTTAATCATTAACATCATCATTCAAATTATTTTCGGCTTTATAATCATTGTTATTATTATCATTTTTATCATTATCATTATCATGACCATCATCATCATTAATATAACCTCTTACATGTTCATTATTATCACTGTCATCGTCATCATGATTAACATAATTATTATTATTATAGTTATTATAATAATCATAATTATAAACATCGAGTACATAAATTTTATAGTCATTATTGTCATAAGTATTATTAAAATTATTATTAAAATTAATATCATTATCATTCTTAAAGACACTATTATAATTGTCCTCATTACGTTTATTATTATCATTGCCATTATAATCATCTTAAACATTACCATCATCATTATCATCATGATCATCATCAAAATTATAATAAGAATCATCATCATTATAATCATTGCCATTGTCATATTCATTATCGTCGTTATTATTATCATCATTGTTACTATCATCATCATTCTATTATTTATTATTATTGTCAAAATACCCATAATTATTATAAAAATCATAATTTTAATAAGTAAAATCATTATATCTCATACAATTATCACTATCATCGTCATCATTATTATTATTATAATCGTTAATATTATCATCATAATCATAATTATTTTCATAATCGTTATTATCAACACCAACAATAGCACTATAAGCATCATTACTATGATCATCTTCATTGTACTCATTACTATTTTCATAATAATTATCATTGTAATTAT